GCCTCTGTGCTGCAGGGAACCAATGAGATCCGTTCTTGGGTGGAAGTAAGTCCCCTTTCCTATGTGTTAGCTTCTCCTCCTTAAAGGATTAAGTCTGATTGTCTTTCCTTTTCTCATATACCTTCCTAGCTCTCCTCTTTCTCTTCTCCTCCTCTTAGTAGGAAAAAGCCCAAACAACCAGTTCCTTTCAAAGAAGCCCAGACATAATGTAAAAGTTACAAAGGGTTAGGAAATCTTACAAAGTTCTCAACAGGTATTGTCTGTTGGCCCATAGTTGCTGAAGATGACTCTTTGCTGGTATCCCAATCCCAAAATTTCTTGCTCTTCTTTGATTCTCTAGAGTTCATACAACAACCGTTTCCTCGGTCCCTATCCTTTTCTTTCCTTAGGCAAGGCAGGCTTTTCAGCATTTAGGCCTAGAGACAGTAGGAGATGAAGATCAGCGAATTCATCCAGGGCCCAGGAATTCGGAGGTCATTCGGATATCTAGGGGGACTCTTAAATAATGCCCAACTTTGAACCGTTAAATTAATTAAATGAGGAGGCCATTAAACTGAGGTGGCTCTAATGCCACTTACTTAAATAAACCAAAATCTTAGCCCGGAAATACCTCCAGGTTACAAAATCAAAACCGATAAGGACGGCCAATCACAAACAGCCAACTAGGTTTTAAGCTGTAGCCAATCAAATAATTTCCTTGCTTTGAGTCCTCACCTTCTCCCGATGCCTCTCCCCAGCCTCTGTAGGTGGAGTCCCCTAGCACTTCCGGTTTGGCACTGCCCTATTGGAATCGATTTTTGCTCAAATCCCCATTTAAAAATTTTAATGTGTCTCAGTTTATCTTTTAATAGGACATAGCCCCCACCTCCTTCAGGTCTCTGAGTGAAGGCTCTGCAGGTATTTCCAGATAAGGTTTGGGAAAGGGGAGGTAGCTTTGCTATGGAAAATCTGTTTGTGAAATAACTAACAAAAAATAAGGGGAATCCTCTCCTAGACCTCCCCTCAGTCTATTTCTGGCAGGTTAATATAATAATAACTTAAATCTGGTTATGATTTCTTTCAAAGGTATGTTTTTGGAAAATATTAAAAAATTCTGATTCTTTCAATATTTTGTTGAAGACGTAGGATGGATTTTTTTTTTCCCCTTTGCTGGCCACTCAGCTACAGATCTTGAAATTGTAATGCTAGTGTTAAATAGTGTAATACTTCCTTTGAAAACAAGCCAACAAATTTAACATATGAAACTCTATAAACTCCTAGGCCTAGTCTTAGTTTTGAGCTACGAAATATGTAGCTCAAGTCAGGGGGCTGTCAGTTTAAGGAGTGGTTTGTCGGGCCTTTTGATGGTGAGATAAAGAAAAGGCTTTTCTTTTTGTTTTCCTTCTCCTTTCCCTCAAGGAACACACCTTTTGTGTGCTCTGCCTAACAAAGGAATTTCCCAATCTCATAGTGGAATTCAGAGGAAAAGTATGATGTGTAGAGTGATATCTATATGCGCCTACAAAGTCAGCTTCAAACCACAAAAGGTTTAAAAAAAAAATGCTGGGATTTTGCAATACACTGATTGGAGGAATAAACGAAGACATTAAGAGTTAGCAATAAAAACAGCAACAACAAAATCCCAAAGGATTTGGAATTCCTTTAGTTTCTATTTGACAGAAGAATAATATGATTTCTTTGTTCTGCCCCTTCGTATCTACAGCAGTCAAATAATAGTTTATTTCATTCTTTACTTCTATTGTTGCCCAAAGCAGGGTGGTGCCCAAGATAGCCTTACATATGCACAATAATAGAATGAACCTTTGTATTAATTTTTGGAAGAGGGGTAGTGCTATTTTTTTTTAACTTACACTAAAAATTGTTTTTTTCTGCTGTGAAATTCAGTGATTTCATAGAATAAAGATGGGTGCTTTGCTTTTCACTACTGATCTACCTGGCAAAGGGATTTCTCTGAAATCCTCTTTGTAAAAAGAGAACTGAGATAATTTGCAAGAAATTATTATCTTTTACTTCTGGTTGGTTAAGGTTTTTAAAAAGCAGATGCAATGTTATCTGTTGCTGTTTGTGCAAATGATGAATTGTGCTTTCAAACTAATTTCCGAGGCTTGACCAAAATACTGGGCTTTGTAAAGAGCTCTGCTCAAAAAGTATATGATATTCTGAAGCCATGTGAGGTGGTTCTACAACCGAAGGCTCCTGCGATAAGCAATCCAGACTTGAGTTTTGGAAGTACAATTCTTGAAACCATTCAAACACTTTGTGCTGTGCTTTCAACTCTTTAGGAGAAGGGAATTGGGGGAGGGGTAAGAAGGTATTCTAAGTAAACAAAGATTCTAAATCGAGGAAAGCTAGGATTTACTATTGTGTGGACATTATGAAATTCCATACATCGTAATATGTGTAGTGGATCACGATTTCAGATAAGCAAGGCCTTGTATCCTTTCCACTGCACGTAATGTTTTTACATGCATATTAATAAAGGCCCACCTTCGGGAGAAGAAAAAAGGCCTCCTTTCAAATGAAATCAAGCCCAGGTAAAGTTGAAACTCAACCCACAGAGTACTGGCACCGTTTTCAGGCTAAAAGAAGATGAGTTTCAATTTCACCATTTTGTAACATTGATAAATGTGATCCCGTGGCTGGCAAAATGTGCAGATTACATAGGTCCTTCTAAACACGTGTAAATGTGTCCCAATTTACGTGCAACTCCAAACAATTTGCTGTTTGAAATTAAAGACCAACAACTCTTCCGTGAAACATTCAGTTCATTTACATGAAAAGTCTTAAATAGCAAAAATGCTGCTTCCAATTTACATCAGACAATGACCCCATAACAGAGAACAATGGCTTCCTCGATGGAAGTTAATGCAAAGCAGAGGCACACTGAGATAACAAAACAAAACAAAAAAACACAACACCCTCCCCCCCCAAAAAAAAACTAACAAAAGAAAACTTTGCAGCACACTTTGCAAATATTAACCAATTAATGTAATTTAAAATAAAGCACAGAAACGCTTCCTGTGCTGGGAATCTTCACGGCTCCTCGAGTAACGTTAGTGTCTTCACAGTCCGATCAAACAGGAGTGAGCCTTTTTAAGAGGTGTTGGTGACATTGTTTCAGATCCTTCCATTTTGTCCTATTTCTAGGGTAAGCACAATTCGGTTGATTTGGGGGGTCCTCGTTTTTTAAAAAACCTTTCAACCGAGTGCACGTCTGTGAACCTTGTACGAACCAGGACCCAAGGCTATATGAACAGCATACCTGATCTGGTGCTAATATATTGTCTCCATCTCGGACGTGGTAACGATTATACACCTTTGTAGTCTTTACGGGGTTTATGTATGTATCTTTTGTGTGTGTGTGTTCTGGAGGCTGTGACCACCTGCTGTATGTACAATATGTGCTTGTTACATTTGTACACATCTCCCTTCGTGAATTTAAAGACTTGGCTATTACATCTTGTTTACTCAATATCATTCCCCCATTTAAAAAAAAAAAAAAAAGCTACATGAACTGAACATGCCATGTTTCAATCTGGCCCCAGTGGCTTTTTCTCCGAAAGCAAAACGTGTGTCTTTTACACCAGGGCTTTCTCCCCACCCCAGGGGGTGTCTTCCATTCTTTTGTGGCTCAGTTTAAGGCGAAAAGGGCTCCAAACCACTAACTACCCAGAAGAGAGCCCCTTCTTCCACCTCCAGGGAGAATTCCAGATTTAATGCATCTGAAGATAGCGTGCTCTCTTCTGACTTATTGGCCACCATTACGAGGATAACAAAACACCACCTTGGCTTCAAGATCCTCGGTAGAGGCTCGCGGTCTTTTGCAACCATCTTTGGCGAGGCCTTGCTTCCTTCCACTCGAGTAAGTTGCGGCTTGGGGCCATGAAAAGGACTGGGTGAGAGCCTGCAATGCCGCTGGAAAAAGCAGCAGGCCCTCAGCACCACCATCACCACCACCCCGCTCTCCGGGGCGAAGCCGCGATGCGGCGGCCGCATATGGGCGAGACTTGGCAGGTCCGCGCGGCTCGCCTTCCCTCCGCCGAGTCGGCACCGGCCGAGCGTCCGCGCCCGCGGGCTGCGGGGCTTCGCGTCTCGCCTCCTTCTCCCCGATCCTCCCTTCCCCCACCGGCCGCCCCCCTCCCCCTCTCCCGCGCTCCCTTTTGTTCGCTCGCCGCTCGGGCCGAGCCGCCGGTGCCGCCGCCGCCGCCCGGGCCCGC